TAGTACTGTGTTATTTCAGAACTCTGAAACAGTTCTTGATCTTAAATGCCAAATACAGAGCAAGAGTTAGCCTGAAGAGGCATAAACTTTTAACATTTATTTTTGAGTTTCTTACTTAGTGGATTTAATGTAGGCCTTAAATCTCACCAGAATATAATTTATTTTCTTAATACAGCAGCTTGGGACCTCCTTTTTTTTTTTTCTTTTTTTTTTTTTTTAATGAGTAACATGCAGCTTTTTATTGCATGGATTAGTTTGTCCACAAACTCTGACGAGCTCATAATAATATGTGATGTATTCTTCCATAGCTGTGATAGTATTTAAATTTAAGATTTCTTCTTGCAGTTAAATGTTTAATATTTACTTATATAATTTGCACTGAGGAATATAGGTAAGCAAGAACTGTCTTCTTTTTTTATATGCTTGCATGTAATTTGCTTACTTTTCCCATTTTTATTTGCAGTTGAAAAATGAAGAAAAAGACACATATGATGAAAACCTCCATTACCCTCTTCTTCTTGTTTTAACCAAACACGGATAGAAGATGGCACTTTTTTGATGTCATTTCAAGATGGACTGCTAAAAATTAACCCATGTACGTGGATAGTCAGGAAATGGGAGGATTCTGTTCCCCCCTTTTATTCTTGAGTCATCATCAGAGAAATATTTTAATGTAAGTGCCGAGGAAGATATCTGGTTTGTTTCACAGTGTGTAAACATTGTGACTTTATTTTGATATCATTTTAGAATGTATTTTTCCAATTATTTTTCAGCCTAAACACCATCAGACATGAAATGCATACATTAACCAAGGTGTGAAAGCTGGCTTCCTTCTCTTTTGTGCCTTTAAACTTGTATGTATTTTGTTAACCTCTTTAAATGTTATTTTGGGGCCATATTTGAAAATACATGAATAATACGCTTTGTGGTTTTACATAACTGCCTGTAAAGTTATAAATGCATTCACCTTTAATTAGTAAGGAAATGGTTGTCTTAGAATCTTTAAAAGGTGCACCTATTACATCCTCAGGTTTTTATTCCCTTTGTTTTTTAAATTCAGCAGTTGATTTTTCTGTCGATAATTGAAGTGTCCTTATTTGCTGTGATGAAGGCTTTTTTTTTAATACATACAGAGATGTCTGTGTGTATCATTTTTTTATTTTTTTTTCCAGCAAGACTTTTCCTCTTCTAGATGTATAAGAAATTATGCGTCAGACAAAAGCCTCATAAACTGACCATTTGTCCTTTGGACACAATAGCCTGCCCAGCCCCTCTGCTCCTCCTCTCCAATTATGTGTGATTAGTCTCAGTGTGTTGTGTCAAGAAGGGGGAGTGTGCTGAGTGCTTATTATCTGTTTAGGTACAAGAAGAGCACATTTAGGTTCTGACTATGAATGGAAAGTGAGCCTTTATCGGGACTAAAATCTAAATGCTACTATTCTGAAAATCACTTTAAAAAATACATCCTTTTTTGATAGATTCTGAGAAAGACTCTAACAACTAAAGGAGTTTGTAACGTAATCAAACTGCCTCGCTCAAATTAGTTTGCATTGTGATATATCATGGCCCAAGAGTTTGATAAACATTTAATATGACTTCCTGTGCTGGGAAAGAAGAAATCCTACCAAGAGACAAGAACTATTTCTTTTTCTCTTAACAGGTTAATAGAACATTTTACCAACTTCTGACAAAAAGAAAGCTGGAATCATTACAGAATCCTGTACTCTCTCTTAAGCCAGAACAATTTTAAAATGATGAAAAAGAGAAAGAGTATATCTGAAAGAGGGAGGTACTATCTAGGAAGCAGAGAGAATGCTGAAATATATTAATTAAAAGAACTGCAGTTTGGTAATAAGCGTTCTTCCATATTCAACAAATTGGGCAGCATGTAAACCACAAGCTCATGAAGGTCCTTTTCTCTTTGCACTTCTGCTCAAATTTCTTCACTACCGGTTTGCATGTCCTTGTATTCAATACTTTTTATGCTCCATTAGAGCACCTAGATGGATCTCAGAAGGCATAGGTCAAGTCGCAGTTAGATCATACATTTCTTTCTCACAAAAACTTGAATTGCAATGCCAAGTGATGGGCTAACATCACAATAACAGCAATTTATTCCTCTTTTGATAAAAAGCAGCCTATTCTCAGTGTTAGATAAAGACCAGGGGCAATGCAAACCAACCATTTATACTAGAACTGAGTAGTATATCTCCCTTATAGCTGGTATGAGTTTCATATTCAAACTCTAGTTGGAAGATACCTGTCTAGCAGGAAATGAAAAGTAATTGAGAGTTATTTAAAATTGCTGTAAAGGTGGCTTTAGTTCCATTTTTCTTTTGTTCTATGTGTCCCACACAGCAAAGCCTTTGTTTTCTTGTAAGGGAAATCTTTATAATCAATGAAGGAGTGTAAAAAATAGTGAAATATTACAATTTGTGGACCTTTTATTTCTGAGAGGGCTTGAATGTCTGCTGTAACAATAATCTAATAAATATTATTAGCTGCCAGAAACAAAACCAGTGTCACTGAAAATCGTCTTATTAGCTCTATGAAGAAAATAGTTTTACTCAAAATAGTAGCTGATGACTGCTTTTGTTTCCCTAGTTTGAAGGCTTTGCACAGGTGCTGCTATCCTTAAAGTGTGTAATTGATGCTTGTTTACCAAAGATGCATTTAGGCTTCATCCTGCAAACTCACATAGGACCTCCACAGGCAGTAAAGTTCCTCATCTACATAAGTGTTTGCAGATTTGGGCCATGTAGATGTTTTTAGATGTATATAAGCCAGCTCTCTTCTTCTTCTCCTTCTTCTTTTGTTTGTTTTTGTTGTTGGTGGTGGTGGTGGTTTGTTTTGTTTTTTTTTAAAGTGGGTATTGAAAAGTCCAAACTGTAGGATATATTGTTGGAGATGTGCTAACAGTGTTGTTTCTTTAAAGACATCTCTCAAAGTCCCTCACGTCAGTAGGGATTTGATAAATTGTTTTTGAGCTCTTTAATTTAAAAAAGTTATGTATGTGATGTTTCTAAATACATCAAATATCCTTGCTAGGAAAAAGTTAGGCAGCTTATCAAATCATTCTTATAAAATGTGTCAGAGCCTTTCATGTGATGTGCTTTAACTCACATCTGATACTTGGCGTATTTTTAATGATACAGTTTACTGTGTTCAGTAGCAGAATACTGAGTTTAATCATTTTGTGCTTGCAAAGCACTTTGAAGATGAACAAGACAGATGAGCTATGTTGTCTTCACTGAGAGAGAACGGGAATGCGAAGCTGATGCAAGTCTGTCTTTAGATATACTGGTAGTTTTTAGAGCAATATTGTCGTCTTCCTCGTCTCGCAGAGGAAAATGGCAGAGAAAGGATCCTCTCGTGGACGTGCCCCTGGGTGCAGCTCTAGAGCAGCTGCTGCCATTGGCAGTGTGTTGTGATCTTGAGAGTACGAAAGACCAAGAAAAGCGAATTCCAGTTCATAGTCTGACAAAAGATGAGGGCTTTCTTAAAAATTACAAATTAGTTCTATGTGTTAGCATTCTGGGATAACAGAGCAAATCTTTCCATTCAGGAAATAAGTTTGATTCGAAATGAAAATGTCTTTGGAATGTGAGATGAGGCAGGAGAACTTGCTACCCCAGGTACCTGTCCAGCTGCGAAATTGTTATTAGACAAGTCATTCGCATTTTGCCTGTGGCTTAATGGCTATGTGTTTGCATGAGGAGGGAAGTGGGATTCAAATTGCTCTCCACGCAAAAAGCATCCTGGCTGAGTAAGGTTTACCAAGTGTTACATCGCCATTGTGAGCCTCCTCGGCTGCTCCCGAACAAAAGCAGTGTGTTGGGTGGAGCTCCTGGTCCACCCCTCGGAGTGGCAGGTGGCACACGGCTGGGAGGGCAGCGGCACTCTGCAAGTCAAAGGGGGCCACGATTATTAGCATCCTGTGCCTGCTCTTCCTATGCATGAATGGGAGCAGCCAGGTCCTTGTCTTCTCGCACGGCAAATTACAAATGCATAGCTCAGCCTGGGTTTCTCTACGTGTGGTTTTCTTCTTGAAATCGGGGAGTGAACGGTGATGTCAAACTGCGAATTCCTTTAACTCCTGTGAAATGTTTTGAGATGCTGGTGAAAGGTGCTAGGAGAGCGATTGTATTGGAAATGTTTTCTGTGCAGCACAGCCATCCTGTGTTGTTCCCTCAGTAGACGAGGAGACAGTTTTGTCCCTTTCTAGCTTGTGATTCTCCCTTTTAATTCTCCCAACTCTGAGTAAGGTGATTTGTCAGCCCTTTGCTGTCACAAGTCAGTAGCATTCATTGTAAGCAGACCGGCGTGTTTTAAAAAATGGTTTTAAATGCTGATTTGCAATATTACTCTCATCTGCACTGCAACAACACTTACTTAACCCAGCCAAAAAGAGGGCACCCTGATGCGAGACCCCATAAAGCTCAAAGAAAGCCAATACAAGACTCAATGAATTTGAAGCTGAATGCATAAATAAAGGGTGCCCCCCTAATTCATGCCCATTCCCCACATGAGGGAGCAGACATATTACTGCCTCATTTGCTTATAGACATTTAGAAAGCAGCAAATATGCTCTATAACTGATCCTGGGTTTTGTAAGACTGAGTGCTGCATCTCCTCCACAAGATCAACCTCCCTCCCTGACCTGCAGACTCTGTTCAAACAGCTGAATGTAACAAACCTAACTTTTCCATTTTTAAAGGATTTTGCCTATTAAGGCTCCTTGCTTAGTCAGCAGCTGGCTTGCTGCCAAAAGGCCCAGCATATTGTTGTGGCTGGGTACAAGCTGGATATTTTCCATCTCTGCCCAACAGCGACACTGGATCTGCATTGTCTTCCTGTGTGTAAAAGTGTAGGAAAAGCAGAGGGAAGATGCACAGAACAGTCATCCAGATGGCATCCCACAACCTGAGAAGAAACATCTTGACCCTCGAATCTGGGTTAAAGTCAACAGATGCCAAGCCCCCAAAAATAAAGAGCTATTGCAGCTGATGAGAGAGGAGGAGCAGCAGAACTTGAGTAACAAAAAGTATCTTTATTTGGGTATATTTCCCCAAAGAAAACCAGGCTAGTGTCACTCGTAGAAGACTGCTTCTTAAAAAATAAAATAGAAAAAGCATTCTCTGCATTAGACACGTTCCCCTTCAGCTGTAAAATGTTTCCTCTGGGTGATGGGTTATGCTAGCAGGAAGGGATTGGAGCATTCAGCCGGTGCTGTGCCCTGCCAGAGCCCACGTGCTAAAAGACCTGCTATTTTTCCCTGACTCTGACTTCAATTAATGTACTTTTAAAATGATTAAACATATCATGCTGTGACTTCTAAAATGTCAACAAGCTTCTAAACTTGGGAGACAGGAATGTAATAAAATAGGTAATAGGAGATTCAATAGTTAATAGAGGCCCTGAAGTGTGAGTGTATACAGTAGCTGTATATTGGAAACTGTGCAAATGAAGATGGCTTAGTATTGCAAACTGAGGAAGAAAATTGTTTTTAATTAGCACCTTCATAAGAACTGCTGATTAATACTGTTTGGTTTGGTGAAAAGCTTTCAGCTGAGTAATTTGTACAGCCATTACAACAGTTTTGTTAGACCAGGACTCCTGTTGTTAAACACAAACAGCAGATGATAATGGTGGAAGATGAGTTTGTCATGTAACAATTTACCTTATTGAAAAAAGCTTTATATAAAACCCAATACAGTAGGTACCAGCAGAAATCACATATTTTAAATCCTTTCAAGATTGCAGTGTGCTATGCTGGTGTGTTTTTTTCACAGACTAGAAACAGATTTTTTATCATTTATAAAATTATATATACAATTTAAAGGTGTTGCAGCATGGACAGACCACTTTACTGGTAATGCTTTACATCAGGACAGCAAAGTGCTGGCATATTCAAACACTTTTGAAGTAGACAAAGTAGGTCTAAAAATTGAAAGGTAATTAAGTAATATTGTTCACATGCAAATGCATGTTTGTGCATTGTGCGCTGAAATTGCGTTTGGTGTTTGTGCAATGTCTATCATTTATACGAAAGGTTTTAAGGAGATTTCTCCCAGGTTAACTACCGCTCACTGCTTTTCCTTACCGTTCTTTTCATCTGACAACAAAAAATTAAAACCTGCTATCTGTGTCTCGATAATCCAGGAGCATACGTGTATCAATGGCCCGGGTAGGAAATTTAGTGCGGTTTGTAGAAACAGAGGGATTTTATTAAATGTGGTAACAATGAAGGAATATCTGCGCTAAATTATGACGCTAACCAAGGATGGTAAGATCTGTAAATTATTGGAGTGCTATAATAGAACATGAGAGTTTTCCTTTAGACAGGCCTTCGGGGTAATAACAAGGGTTGAGACTCACGACAGTGCCAAATAAGCTTTAGACAGCATAATAGTCTGCAAAGAAAAGCCACAGAGCACTAATGTAAAAGAAGAGCTGTCCACCACATGCAGTAAAAATCACCAAAGGTCATTTTATGGTAGCAATTGTGACATAAAATTGGTGGTCATGCTACATGTCTAATACTCAGCACAGCTTTATAAATGATGGGCCCCTAGCGATGGCTGTCATTAAGTGCTTTCATCATAATAAACTTTAAACTGTTGGCTTTATGAATCGCCAGCCAGCTTCAGCTGTTCGTTGGATGGAGCTTGCAGTGCCTTAAGTGTGACAAGGCCTATTAGGAACTGCAACCATGTTTCAAGCGTACTTGGCTTTCCCACTCCTGGGGTGATTGCTGCCTATTAAATGGCATCTGGGAAGATTTTCCTCCAGCAATCTCTGATCAAGAGCTTTTTTGGGCTTTGACCTGCATTTCCTTCAAGACTTTCTCTGAGGAGTTTTATAAGAGCAAAACTCCAGAGGATTTATAGCCACTTCTGATTAATACCTTTTCAGTTTTTCTAGCAACTCTCCCACTGCTACATGGAGAAAAGCTTTCATTGTTCCTAAGGTGCTTATTTGTGACCTTTTCTGTGCTTTCTGATTCCCTCTAACATGTTCTCAGTGAAATCCTTGGTGTGCAACCAAGACGGTCGCTGAAGTTGCTGCAGCTTTGTGTGGAGTGGCTCTGACAGTTAAAAAATAAAATGAATGTGGAGTGAACTCCTCCCCTTTCCATTCTGACGGTGGTCTCGCAGCTCACGGGTAACAATTAAATGCGAATGTCGCCAACTCCCTATTGTAAACAGCATGCGTGCCATCAAAGGTGGAGGGACTGCTAATTCCTTGGGCCTCCAGCTGAGGGAATGCAGATAGGTAATTGTAACGTGGATTTCTTCTTCGGGCTGTGTCTGCCCAAAGAAGCAGCCATCGCGGCCCGCTCAGAAGCACGGAGCTGGGCCCAGGGCCCACTCTCCTTCCCCATAGCTGTAGGCAGGCAGCGGAGGCTGGGGGCACGTCCTGACCCAGGTATGGCAGCACTGAGCTCACAATCCCCTCATACCACGACCTGGGAGGAGGCTCCACATCGTGTCCAGGCTG